GCTTCATCAACAGAGGAGGAGCGAGTGCAGCAAGAATAACATGAGGAGCAACAATCAGCAAGGAACAACCGGCTATAATAAAATGGAGAAACAAGACAGCTGCATCTCAAAGGGAGCAGCCAGACCCAGAACAGCGTGAGGGAGAGAGATGCCAGACAGAACTAAAGGAGTCATAGCCCTAGATAAGCAGTCACAGCCAGATAACAGAAGGGATGAAAGGGCACCAAGGACACTGTAGAGAGCCAGATAATATCTGAAGTCCTTTCCGTCAGTCTGCTGCATGCTTTGAAGTGTGCTGGTTGAAGATGCTGGCAGCAATCAGAGCAGGCAAGACCAGTATGATGGAGTGTAACTATAAAAGTACCCCCAGTAGAATATGTCTTGGCAAATGCCAAACCATAATGAAAAAACAGAAGAGGATGACTGGAATAGGGAAGAATATTCCATTTCTTTCCTCATCATAAGTAAAATTAACCTCAGCAGTGAGATCAGTTACTGGCCTTGGCTTTGTAATGCAAACAATTCGTTATTTCCTGAAGCTGTGTATGTATAATTTCCTTTTCCTTCTTATCTTTGTGCCACTTCATTAAAAATGCTTTTTCCTGCTTTCTGTGTCTGAGTGATGGAAGGAAGATGTATTTCTAATAATAATACAGGGGGACTATGCTCCCTGCCTCCCTTCAAAGGCAGTGTTCTGCATTAGGAAATCTGTTCAACTAAAAATTTGCAGGAAGAAAAATGCTCAGCTTCCCTGTACGTTGCAATAACTGTTCTGGCAAAGCAGAATTTAAGAAATTGAAAGCAGTGGCTTTCTCACCCTTCTGAGTGTATTTATTTCTGAAAATTTAAAGCGTAACATGTTCTGCAAGAATGTGGAAGAACAAGAGGGCTAACTGCAGTCGCTGGAAAGGCTCTCTGAAAATTTTGTGCGTTTTTACTTCTGTTCCTTGGGCACTGGGAAGGAGATTGGCACTGTAATAATGAAATAAAACAAAAAAAAAAACCAAAACATCTATTCTGCCCAGTAAAACTGGGATTAGTATCAGACCGAAATCCACTCAGTTCATGAAAGCAATGAAATTGGGACAACGTGCACCTGTGAAATGACCACATAAAAGTGAAAGCAGTTCATTAACAGTGAAATACTAGATAAATACTT